AGAGAGAGAGAGAGAGAGAGAGAGAGAGAGAGAGAGAGAGAGAGAGAAGTGTCCTGAAAACTGGAGTCAGAGACAACAAGAAGTTTGTTAGACTATGGTACACTCTTCCCTAAAGAAAGACCAGCAACCTAGAACCTCCCTCTGGTCTCATCCAGTCTGCCAGGGGCTCTGCTGAAATCAACAAGTTTTTTTTAAGTACCTATTATGTTCCTGGCATGGTACTAAGTGTTTGGAGGAGTTCAAAGACCAAAATGAAATAATCCCTGCCCTCAAGGAGCTAATATTATATAAGGGAAAACAATCCTGGGCAAGTCACTTAGCTTCCCTATGCCTCTGTTTCCTCATCTGTAAAATGGAGACAATATTACCTGCCTCACAGTGTTGTTGTAAGGATCAAATGAGATAATATATGTAAAGCGTTTTGCAAACCTTAAAGCTCTATGTAAATGCCAGCTATTATTATTATCATCAGCAAGTTGATGGTAGTGATTATAATAATAGTATAGGTTATGGCATTGTGGTTCAAACCGGATGCTTCCCCCAGGAATGATTAGCTAAACCAGAGATTACAATTTAATTATCCAGGCAATTATGTTCCTTACCTATGCTATGTTATTTCCTCCTACTCATCTGCTTAGACCCAGCCAGCCTAGGCTCCTGGCCATCCCCAAATTCAAGTATGTTTGCCCCTGCTCCATCCCCTTTTCTACTAAAGCCTGTGCTTAAAATGCCTTCCCTCAACTCCTCACCAATTGAAATCATGCAAGGTACAACTCAAGAGTCGCCTCTGCCAGGTTGCCTTCCATGAATGCTGATCACTCCCATCCTTTGCCTGGTCCCTTGGGCTCAGAGGAACAATGAGTCACACAACTGGACTGGATTACAAATAATAATGACACTAAAGATTGCATTTAACAAAGCACTTTACAAATGTTATCTCATTTTATCCTTACAACTACCCTGAAATGGAGGCATTATTATTATCCTCACATTATAGATGAGGAAATAGAGGCAGACAGAGATTAAGTGACTTGCCCTGGGCCACTCAGCTAGTAAGTGTCTGAGGCAGGATTAGAACTCAGGTCTTCCTGACTCCAGGCCCAATGTGTATCACCCAGCTGCCTCAACATCCATGAGAGGATTTAGTTACTGTGGCACACTGGGAAAATCAATTCCCTCTCTCTGTTTTCTCTCTAAAATGAGGAGAATTGGACTAGATGGCCGCTTTGGGAGGAAGGAGAGTTTCATTCATTGTATCTGTATCCTCAGCACCTAGGACAGTGCCTGATACAGGGAAGGGGCTGAATAAATGGTTAATTGATTTATTGAGAGCAAGGGCCTTCAGGGGTCATCTGGTTCAGCTTATACCTGAAAAGCAAACTCTACTACAACACACACTATTAAGATATCACCCTGCCTCTGCTTGAGGGTCCTCCAGGCATAGGGGAATACACTAAGTGGGGAAGCAGCCCGTCCTATCCTGGGACAACTGTAACTGTTAAGAATTTCTTCCTGATGTCAAGTCTCCATGTGCTTCTTTGCTCTGTTTTCTGCTCCTGGTTCTGCTCTCTGGGACCACAGAGGATAAATCTAATCCCACTTCCACTGACTAGCACTTCAAATAAGGGAAGACAGCTGTCAGCTCTCATGTCCCTCTCCCCACCTTCCTCACCCCAGTCTTCTCTTTTCCAGCTTCTTCCTCCAATCCTCATACAGTGGGAAGTTATGTAAGGTAGGAAGCATTCCAGTTTCTGGAAGCACAAATTGCACCTCTGACATTTTTTTAGCTGTTGTCACCTTGGGAGGGTTGTTTAATCTTCCCTGGATAGCATTTCTTCATCTACAAAATGAGGGATTAGACCAGATGGTCTCTGAGCCCCCTCCCACCCCCAGCCCAGTCCCACGTCTAGGAGCCTTTGATCCCTGAACACACCCTACACGTTCCAGGGTCCTGTGAGTCCTACAACTAGGCCAGCCTGCCTGGTTTGGCCCTGTATCATTCCATAGATATTTGCTGAACTCCACTGGGACCACAGGCTCTTGGCTGCCCTCCCTGCCCCAGGGTAGCTGAGCCTCCTTCTGGCCCAGGCCCCTCAGCCTACAAAGATGACCCAAAGCTACAGGGAAATCCTGAAACAAGAGAGCTGGCCGCTAGCTGGTTTGGAACGGTAATGGTTAGCCCTCTCCTTACCTTGGAAGAGTTTCGTTGGGCCACAAATGTGGCCAGAGCTTTGCACACATTCCACTGCTTCTCATTGCAAGGGTCCTCCGAGGTGACCTGGATGCCCACCTAGAAGGGTAAAGACATCCAGGTTTAGGGAAGCTCAGCAGGAGGTGCTTGGGGCCCCCAGCAGCCTCCCTGGGGGCTCCTGAAACCCTGCTTCTTCATGTGCTGGCCACGTATGAATCTACTTGTCCAGGTCTGGCTGATAAGAAGTCATCTCTTGAACCCTGGAAGCCAAGGCTGAAAAGCCCAGTCTAGATTCTGAAGGTACCATGGGGCACTAGGGCCTGAGGGCTCAGAGGAAACTGTAGCTGCAAAGAGGAGGCCAAAGGGAGCAGTGGGGGACCAGTCCAGGAGGCAATGGGGCCTCCCCACCATCCTGAAAGATGCCTGGAACTTGGCTTTCTAGTATTTCTGAGCTCATCCTGCCCAGAGACCTGACTCTGCCATGTGGAGTTTGGCCCAACCCGGTAGAGAGAGAGAGTGCATGGGATCATGGCAGGGGTCAGGATACTGAAGATGAATATGGGGGAGATTGGTGATTTCCAAGAATTCCCAGTGAGGAAACTCTCCCTACCAATGCAGATCACCACCTGCCTCTACTACTCAGTCATACAGAGTTGTCTGGGGCCAGGGGAAACATTAATCTTCTTTAATATTTCAAGAAGGCTCCATTTCTGATAGCTTTGGAATAACAAAGATCACAGAATTTCCTGGCCTTAGAAAATGAACTTTGATAGTTGTTTGGTCAAAAAAAAAAAAAACAACAAAAAACATTTTTGTCTACCCACTACTGGCCAAGCTCCTGGAGGTGAGCATGAGCACCCGGGGAAGACTGGAGCCCAGAGCCACGCCCAGGGTGCACTGGAAGTGGGTCAGGCGGGGTTTGTCCAAGGTCACTCAAGCTGGTTAAGATGCATAGAGAGACTGGAACCCAGAACTCCTGACTCCCAGTCCAGTGCCCTGTTTACTGCACTCAAATACTGAGACATCCTGAGAGCAAAGAATTGGAACTCGGGGCTTAGATTCTGGTCCTAGCTCAGGGATCTTGGGTAATCCATTCCCCTTCTCTGGGCCTCAGTTTCCTCATCAGCAAAGTAGGATAAAGAGTCCTTAGATTACTTTTCACCATTCTCCCAACAGACTTTGTAAACCCCCAGAACATTATAGAAATATGAGCCATCATTAATGTTGGGCAAGAATAACCAGAGACCAGGAGGCAAGAACCAAGAGTGATCAGCGGGAAGGACTCACCCTAGTGGGGGGATGAGCTGAAACATGGGGTGTTGGGGCTAGGGCAGTGAGCCAAAAAAGCCCCAGATGGTGCCTCAGAGGCCCAACCCCTCACCCCCCAGCTCCCCCCCCACATACCTGTCCCCCCAGCCTCCAACCCCTCCCCCATACACACCTCACCCCTCCCCCATACATACCTGTCCCCCCCAGCCTCCAACCCCTCCTCCATACACACTTCACCCCTCCCCCATACACACCTGCCCCTCAGCCTCCAACCCCTCCCTCCCATACACACCTCCATGCTAGAGTTGAAGGCCCGGTTCACCTTGGCTTTTATGTTGACCACTTGTCCGGTTCTGGGGAAAGAACAAGAAGTGTAACGCTGACCCAAGGGGCCCTGGGTTCCAGTCCTGGCTGGGCTGCTTCTTCCCTACTAGACCTTGGGTGACTAGTCAGCAGTTTCCTGAGCTATGGAATGAGAAAGTGAGGATGATCTCCAAGCACCTCCCAGCTCATCCTGTGACACTAAGTTATCCAGGAGGAAAGGAGAGAAGGCGAAGAGAAGAACAGAGGAGCCCAGCGTCCCTGGGCAGAAGGGGCTACCTGGGACAGCTCTCAGGTTGGGCTTTAGGCCACACCTTCCTCTACCCTCCTGTACCTCTCAGGCCTGGTTCCACCCCCCAGGGCCTAATCTCCCTTCCTTCTGACAATCTGTCTGTCAAGTTCTTCAGGACTAGGCAGGACCCTGTGTCCAAGCCTAGGGTCACCAATGCTTTCAGAAGGTTCTTACCTGGCAAACCCAGGCTCTAGTCTGGCCATTGGTGCTACCTCTCCTGGAGGTCCCAGGATCCAGCAGCTTGTGGACCTGCCCTCTACTCACTCTGACTGATCATCACTGAGAGAACATCAGAGCTGGAGGATTAACCCCTACATGGCCATTGGGAAGAAGGGGGCTAGAGAAGGCCAACGGCAAGGAGGGTGATGGAGGAAAAGCAATGGTGTGGAGGCTGGCCACATTGACTTTGAAGCCTGCTTTGCTCAAGGTCCAGTGGACTCCAAGGGGCAGCAGATAAGGTGAGGGAGCGTGCTGGGTGTGGAGGCAAGGGGCCTGTGCCTGAAGGCCACCTGTGGCATTTACTGACCATGGACAAGCTGCCTGATCCCTCTGAGCCTCAGTCTCTTCATCTGTAAAATGAAGAGGTTGGACCAGGGGGTTGGACCAGATGGTCTCTGAGCCTCAGTTTCCTCATCTGTAAAATGAGGGGGTTGGACCAGATGGTCTCTGAGCCTCAGTTTCCTCATCTGTAAAATGAGGGGGTTGGACCAGATGGTCTCTGAGCCTCAGTTTCCTCATCTGTAAAATGAAGGGGTTGGACTTGATGTTCTTCCAACCTTAGACCTATGGCCCTACAGTCATTGAACACCCTCTTACCTTCCCATCTCTCCATATGCTTTTTCCTGACTGTAAAGCTCCCCTCCTCTCTGTCCTATTTGGATTCAGATAATCTAGTCCATCCTTCAAAACCCAACTCAGGTCCTCCCACCTCCAGGAAGCCTCCCCTGATTCACCCCACAGCTGCCAATGATGTCTCCCTCATCTCACTCCTTCAGCCGTAACCGTCTCTGTGCTTCCTTATGGTCCCTGCCTCCAGTTAGATGAGGCTTCATGCTCTGCAAAGTATTTTCCTCAGGCACTGACCCCCACAGCTCCGCTGGCCATATCCAGGACGCCAGACTCTCACCAGCACATACCTCTTCTCATGCGTTATTCCCCACCCCCCCACTCCCCAAACCCCCAACCTCCTTCAACAACATTCTACCTCTTGCTCTTGCTTTGGGAACAAGTATCGTGGAATCCGCCAGCCATTGCTAGTGGACAGGGTGTGATTATGGACCATCCAGTGGCTCTGCTCACCATCTCTGGGAATCCCTTCCCTGGCTCCCTCTCTTTCTTCTTTGTGTCATCTCTCCTGATTAGACTGGAAGTTCCTCAAGGGCAGGGATGGTTTCCTTTCTTGTCTCTATATTTCAGGCACCTAGGATGGTACTCATACAGAAGGTGCTTAATAAATGCATGTTAATCAATTCCTTGCTCTGTTGTATTACAATTTGATTTCAACTGCCTTGTCAAATGTCCTTGAGAATGTGCCATTTATTTATCTACTCATTCAGCAAACATTTATTAACTTCCTGTTTCGTTAGGATGCTGTATTTGGCACTAGGAATCCCACAATGTAAAGCACCACAGGCCCTGCCCTTGAGGAGCTTATGATCAATGCGGCTGGGGGGACACAATTAAGTGTGATATCTGGTAGTGAGATGGAGACATCCTGGTGCAAGGGAGCCAGACGACCCAAGTTCAAATCCCAGCCCAGCCATTTACTATCTGTGTAGATCTGGCCAAGTCATTTAACATCCTCAGGCCTCAGTTTACTCATCTGTGAAATGAGAGGGTTGGACAAGATGTCCTCTGAGGTTCCCTCAACTCTAAAGCTATCATCTTATGATGAAGGTAAATTGGGGTACAGGCCAGGTAAGAGGCAGATTACTAAGGACAAAAAGAGCGCTGACCCTGGATTCAAGAGGAGCCTGGGTTCAAATCCAACCTCTTTCACCCTCCTAAGTGAGTGCCCAAAGGCATGTCACGAACTCTCTCTCAGCCTCAGTTTCCCTATCTGGAAAATGGGGATAAGAATCCCTCTAGTACCTACCACCCAGCATTGTCATAAAGATCAAGTAAGATACTGTACATATAAAGTGCTTTGTAAAACTTAAGGTGCATCATAAACTGTCAGCTGTTATTATGATGAGAGAAGAAGGAATGAGGGAAGGGAGGGAGGGAGAAAGGAAGGGAAGGAGGGAGAAAGGAAGGAAGGAAAGAAGGAAGGAAG